AGAGGAATATTGTGGTTTGAAAATAGAGGGTTGGAGAAAAAGAAGACCCCCTAACCAGATGGATTGGCACAGTGACAGCAGCAATAGGTTCAAATGCAGCAATGATTGTGAGGTTGGCACAGGACTGAGTAGTGTTTTTGTTCTGTTGTGCATAAGGCTGCTGAGTCAGTACCGACTCGATGACACCTAAGAACAATGCTCAAGAGCAAGTTTCTGAGTCTTCTTATGACATCTATTTTAGCCATTTCTTTCTCTCCTGTCTTTTTAATGATCTTTTGCTTTCCTCCTATATGTTCTTGACGTCATCCCACAGCTCTCTGGTCTTTGGTCATTAGTGTCTAATGAATCAAGTATGTTCTTGAGATGGTCTCTAATCTCATATGGGATATATTCAAGGCCATATTTCAGTTCTCATGAACTTGTTTTAATTTTCTCCAACTTCAGGCTAAAATATAAGCAACTGATAGTCTATTTCAGTTAGTCCCTGGTCTAATTTTGGCTGATAATTGAGTTTTCCACCACCTGTTCCTACAGTACTCAATTTGATTCCTGCATACACCATCTGGCGAAGTCCAAGTACATAGTCGCCTTTTATGTGGTTTCAAAAAAGTGTTTGCAATGAATTAAGTCGCTAGTCTTGCAAAATTTTATCCTGCAATCTAGCATTACTTCTAACACCTTTTTTCCAACTTTTGCATTCTACTCATCAACAATTATCAACGCATCCCATTTACATGTTTGATATATTTCATAGTGAAGAAGTTGGTTGTTGCTATGTGCCGTGGAGTTGGTTCCGACTCATAGTGGTAGAATTCTTCAATTTCATCATCACTGGCTATATCAGTGGTGTGTAAATTTGAATGGTGGTTATTAACTGGTCTTCCTTGTAGGTTTACGTGTATGGATATTATCCCATCACAGACAGCATTACGTATCAAGTTAGATCTTAAAATGTTGTTTATGATGATGAATACAATACAATGTCCTTTCTCTTAAACTTGTTATTGCTAGCATAGCAAATCATCAGACTGTCTAATTCATACTGGACAATACCAGTCCACTTAAACACTAATGCCTAGGATTTTGATCTTTATATTTTCCATCTCCTTTTTGACAGCTTATGTTCCATGGTATCATTATTAATAAAAGTTCGCAGCTATTTCTCATTTTGTGTTGTGTCCCATTAGCAAATGAGTGCCGTGATGGCTTTGCAGCATTAATGTTATGATTGTCAACTCTACTTTATGAGGCAGCTCTTCTCCAGTCTTATTTTGAGTGCATTTCAACTTGAGGGGCTCATCATCAGTCACTGTATCAGACCAGGTTCTGTTGACATTCATATAAAGTTTTAACTGGCTAACCAAGAAATTCAAAAGACAGCTACCTGGCCAACCAATTGAAGAGACACATATTTGTGCTTATTCCAAAGAGAGGTAACCCAACAGAATGTGGAAATCATATAACAGTATCATTATTATCACATGTAAATTAAAATTTTGCTGAAGATAATTAAAACATAGCTACAACAGTACATTGACAGAGAACTGCCAGAAATTCAAGCCAGATTCAGAAGAGGCTGCTGAACTAGGGATATCATTGTTGATGTCAGATGGATCTTGCCTAAAAACAGATAACCAAAAAGATGTTTATTGAGTATGCAAAGGTTTTCTATTGTGAAGACCATGACAAAACTATGTATAACTTCTGATGAGCTATCTGTTACAATGCTTTCAACCCTAATGCCTTCAAACTCTGCTTAATTTAAACTACAATCTGTACTTCCTATAAAACAAAATAAAGCCATTTTATGAGTACATGGCCAAACATACATTCTTGGTTTAATGGAAATACATATATGCAGTGAAAAATAAAAGATTTTTAGTTGTTGTTATACAATTTGCCTAAACAACCGAAATACACTTGTGAAATCTAAAATCGTCATAGAAATCTATTTTCTGGTATTTAGAATAAAGGAGCTCTGGTAGCGTAGTGGTTACGAATCGGGCTGCTAACCTCAGGTTCAGCATTTTGAAACTATCAGCTGTTCCGCAGGAGAAAGATGAGGCTTTCTGCTTCCATAAAGATTTACAGCCTTGGAAACTCTGTATAGGGTCGCTATGAATCAGAACTGACTCCATGGCACATCAAAACAACAACAACAACACAAAAATGAAAAAAGTATTGACAAATAACCACATAACCAAAAGAGGCACAAATTAAAATTTTTAAAAAAATTGTATAATTTATTGTTTATATCCTCAATTATTACTTAAGTCTTGCTAAAAGTAATAACTTTTAACACAGGTGATCTGATTATATTAAATAGCTCCAAATTCCAAACAGTTTTTCACTATTTTAAATACATCTCAACATTAGAATACAAAGAAATGAATTATGATATGCACAAATAGGGAAATCAGTGAAAACAGCTGTAATTCCCATATTCCTTTAGAGAAGAAATACACAACTTTAGCTACATACTTGATTTGGAAAAGGCTTATATAAAAATAACTTGTAACACTCTTAAAGAAAAACAAAGAAATAAAACAATACATCTATATAACCCACACAAAGGGGATCAATTCAACCATAAGGATAAATAGGTTAGCTACAGCATTTTTTCCCCTAAAGATAGAAAAGGTCACAAAAATAGGTGTTAATCAATCATCAAATGTAATTTTTTTCCCCTGAAATACAGCAATCTTAGATTGCTGTTCTTTTTGCCTCCTGCTAGCTTCCCATGAAGGATGAAGCGGCAGCTGCAATTGTGGTTTTGCATTGTCAAATCTTCTTTGTTTACTTTTATTAAATTGATTCTTGATCTGATGTTCACTTTGTTGCAAGTCTGGAAGAAGAGAGGAAAGAATGAAAACTAACTACATACTTAAATAATATAGCAGAGAAATACATTTTATCTTCTTTAAATCAATACTAAAGGAAGAAATCCAGTTATTTAGTTATTTAAGTAGAATATCTTGCATATTAACATTCTAAACAGCTAAACATTTCAAATAAAACATTTCAAAGTTATTAAGTTTACCATCAACAACTAATTGGCTCTGTATTTCCCTTATTTGGCAGAATATAGGAGGGAAAAAAATCATTTCTCCAATTCAAACAAAACTGATATATTATAAGATAGTACGTCCTCATTTCTGTAGATCCATAAATCATCCAGACTACTAAGGAACTAGAAGTTTGAATCCATCAACTTTAGCAAAGCACTGCTCAATCGCATATAGAGGTCATGAGTCATTAACACATACCTGGGGCTTTGTTTGTGGTAGCCGGTTCTTTGGAACTTCTAAAGGAAGAAAAATACCATTATGACTTTAAAAGATTATTAAATACTCTGATCTGAAGAACATAATACAAGAAAGCTGATAATAAAAAACCATTCAAAACACTGTTGTACTCCTCTATCTTAGCAACAATCAAAAAAGATTATGAAAATCCTAAATTTTAGCTAGTTTGAAGGTTTGCTGGACTCTGATATTAATACAGAAACATGAGGAACTCTTCCTCTCACAATCCTTTTAGAGATTTTTTTTTCATAATTGAAAATGTTCTTATTTGGGCGACCATCTACATAAAAGAATTTCAAGTCTTCTCATAGAGAAGATGAATACATATAACAATAGCAAAAAAAGGATTTACATATTTCTGGAATGGGGAGAAGGGTAGTGATGGATGTGTAGTTACAAAAAGAGGGCAAAATACAGTCTTCTGCATTTTGTATTGGAACAATTTTCAAGGTTTCATTTTTTTGACACTCATAACTCTTCAAAAAATGTCTACATTCTCTTTTCCTTTTTATCATTAAAAAACAAACAAAATCCCCCCACAAAAAAACTGGTTTACTAAAGAAAACAGATTTTATTGAAGAAATCTGTTAGCTATGGTTTTTAAAGTGTGTTTTTTTAGGTTAAATGAGGAGCTCTGGTAGCGTAGTAGTTACAAATTGCTCTGTAAACCGCAAGGCAGCAGTTCGAAACTACCAGCTGTTCCGCGGGAGAAAGATGAGGCTTTCTGCTCCCATAAAGATTTACAGCCTCGGAAACCCTGTACAGGGTTGCTATGAGTCGGAACCGACTCTGTGGCACATAACAACAACAACAGCAATGTACATGTACCTAATTTGCAAAGTTTCCTCAGCAGTTTCCTGTTCAAGCTAGGCAGGTTATATTACACATGAGGGTTATTAACATGGGTGTGTTAATTACAGAAGATAAGGACTTAGAGGTATAGACAAACATGGAACAGCTGTGATAAGCTACCTTTAATAGCAGAGGTGGAAACAGCAATATCATCCAAAATAAAGCAGACTGTCGAAATTCAGTGTCAGAGCAATTAGCCTTACATACTAAAGTAACAACAGATGGTAATATAATTGATGTTTATGATAATTACTCTGGGTCATCAAACAAACAAATGCTGCATTATTTTCAGAAAGGTCTGTTTATAAAGAGATAGATGTGAGACATTTTCAAAAGGTTATCATAAACTAATCTAATGTTTTCAAACTTTGATCACTGATGGGATAAACCTAAATTACCTATATAAATTCTTGACAGTAAATACGATTTCATTTTTTGATGAGGCTGAATAAATATGGCATTGTCCCATGTGTACTTAACAACTCAATATGAAGTTGGAGAGGGTCATTTCTAACAATAGCGTAAGCTGTACAAACTAGAATTTTCTATGTGGACTAGTCTCTTACCAAATTTCTATAATGTTTGCTATTATACCAATTTTTAAAATAATTTTTTAATTACTTAAAAAATTAAAAGTTATTTCAAAGTGAAAAAAAATATTCTCACCTTCTGAAGCTTTTAGATCCAGATAACGAATGGAAAAATACTGATTCAAACTTCCTAGATTCTGTACTTGGCTTGTTTTTATCATCTTTTATGTCGCAGTGGGTTTTGAGTATTTCTTCTTCAGACAACAGTGTTTTTGGTTTCTTTGGTTCCGCAGTGGAAGAATGGGAGCTACTTTCCTTCTTTCGTGTCCGTCTGACTTTCCCAATGAAGAAGTCATCATCGCTATCACTATCTTCAGACATGGAAGACTGTTTGTAAAACCTTTCTTCTGTGCTATCATCAAAATATTCCTTCTCTTCTTCAAGCATTTCTTCCCCATCACTATTACCACTAAATGAGCTATTGGACCCTTCTCCTTTTTTGGTTTGACTTAGCGTTTTCATTGTTGGATCAGCAGGTATCTTCTGGTGTGGAGATGAAACTACAGAATTGTTTTTAGAAGGTTTCGATGGAGAATTTGGAATGTTCACTGCTTTGGGTCCATGCTCCACGTTGCCCAATTTTTCTTTTGAGTTATTTAGTGGTTTCTTTGCCAATATTTTGACTTCTTTCTCTTTCTGACCACTGATGATAGTTCCTTTATGCTGCAACTTCCTTTCATCATTTGAAAACATAGTGTCCTTGGAATTATTTTCTTCTGAAGTATTTGATGATTTAACTTCAGCAACATTTTGTCTTGCATCTTTAAATGCTTTAACACCAGCTGCATGGAAATAAATAGCACATAATTTGTTTCAGCATTGAAATATATACCAAAAAAGATCCCTGTTTTAGCTGTTATTGAGTTTAAGAGTCATAGAGTCGGTTCCGATTCAGTGACCCTGTAATATAATTTCTGAGGAGTGGCTGGTGAGTTTGAACTGCTGACCTTGTGGTCAGTAGTCCAGTAGTTATCCTACAGCACCACACAAGGGCTCCTGATCTACCATACTGTTTTTTAAATTGTTTGGAAACCCTAGAAGACAATTAGAAGTTTATATTAGTTATGTATAATGGGTTTAAGCTCATGCAGAAATTCTTTGACTTTTAAAGAAGGTGTGGTGCTGTGGGTTAAGTGCACTGTACTGCAAAGACAGTTTGAACCACAAAGTTGACAGTTCAAGTTCACCAGTCGCTCCTCGGAAACCCTACACAGGGTTGCTATGAGTCGGAACCAACTCAACAGCACTCAAAAAAACAAACAAACAAACAAACAAAAATCATCTTAAGGCTAATTCTCATTTCTTCAAGTCTTGAAGTTATAAAGAATAATACAAACTTCACAGAATACAAAACAAAATGATAACTTTAATTTCAGTGTTGTTGTTGTTGGTCGGGTCATTCAGATTCTACCAGCTGTAATCTTTATGGGAGCAGGTCACCAAGTCTTTCGCCCATTGAAGGGCTGGGTGGACTCAAACCCTATCTTTTGATTAGTAGTCAAGCATTTAACCATTTGCGCCATCAAGATTCCATCACTATATTGTTGTTCAGTGCCCTTGAGTCCTTTCTGACTCAGAGAAATCCTGTATAGGGTTTCTGAGGCTTTAAATCTTTGCGGGAACAGAAAGCCTCATCTTTCAGCTAGTGGGCTCGAATCGCTGACCATCTGGTTTGCAGTCCAGTGCTTATTGTATGGAGTGATGTGCTCTCTTAATTTCTATAGGAGTCCTGGTGTGGCACTGTAGGATAAGCATTGGGATGTAAGGTCAGTTAGAATGGCAATGTCAGCAGTTCAACCCAGCAGCCACTCCTAGGAAACCTTATAGAGGATCACTATGAGTCAAAGGCACTTAACAACAACAATATATTGATGGACTCTTGATGGCACAAATAGTTAAGTGCTTGACTACCAAACAAAACATTTGTGGTTTGAGTCCTCTCAGCCCTGGCATGGACAAAAGACTTGGTGACCTGTCTCGTAAAGATTACTGCTGCTAAGACACGGAACAACTTGACCATATCTAGCAACAATAAAGTGAAATGAATGCAGAATACTATACATTGTGCTTTTAGGCATGAAAATAAATTACACCGTAATCTGACAAAAGCATCTGGTTTTGTAAACAATTTTTATAATACACAAATGAAAAATATGCGACTTAGTGGCAAAAAAAAAACCCACAATAAAATGAATTACACTAATATTTAGCAAACCAGCTGTATTCAATTTATCATGAAAAATACATACATATTTTGAATACGTACATATGTATGTATTTATAAAACTGGCAATCAGAATTTTCATAAAAAGTACATTTAGGTTTACTTCAGACATCATATATATATATATATATCGTCCATATTTTCAAGCACTTTTCAATAGTTAGAAACATTTGAAAGAGATTTACATTTATAGAAATGATATTCAATAGGTAAAGAACGATAAAAATGTTTACAAGAAATAAATGAATAGCTATTTCTCCTAAATCACATACATAAATCATTGAAAACCTCGCTTAAAAGCCATTTAATTCATACCTTTTAGCATATCTATTTTTTTCTTCAGAAGCGGGTGTATCGCTAGTCTGGCAACAGCTCTTTCAGTTGCAGTAGAATCTGGCTGCAAAATGAAAAATAAGCATATGGGAATAAAGACAACTTGACACTATTATGAAATCAATGAAAAAAATTTAGTCTTTAAAATTAAAGAGAAAAGAAATTTAATATTCTTACCATATATCTAACATAAATATAATCCATGACAAGAATAAAAATCATACTGACAAAAACATTACTACTTTGAACAATTAAAGATATCAAGTAATCAATTAATAAAATATTCTTTGGTACTTACATGCTTTTAGGATTGTGTTAAGTACCCATGTGTAGCATTAAAAAAATGTACTAAAGCTTCTGCTTTCAGAGTTTAAAACATTGAGAATTTTTCTCAAGTGTATGTTTTAAACTCAGAATTAATCAGTATGAAGGAGTCAAATAACATGTACCCAACAGGGATGCCAGGAGTCCTGGTTTGGTGCTGTGGGTTAATGTGCCAGACTGCAAAGCCATTTGAACTGTAAGGATGATGGTTCAAGTTCACCAGCTGCTCCTAGAAAACCCTACACAGGGTCGCTATTGGGTCAGAACTGACTTGACGGCACTTAACAACAATAACAACAGAGATGCCTGCCATTTGGCTAATTGAATAAATATTTGGTGACAATGGAAATATACATTTATTTATTTACTTATGTATTTATGTATTATATAAGGTAGCGTAGTGGTTACGAATCGGGCTGTGAACCACAAGGTCAGCAGTTCGAAACTACCACCTGCTCCGTGGGAGAAAGATGAGGCTTTCTGCTCCTGTAAAGATTTACAGCCTCGGAAACCCTGTACAGGGTTGCTATGGGTCAGACATACTGCATTAGGTAAATCTGCTGCAACAAGATCTCTTAAAAGTACTCAAGAGCAAAGATGTCAAATTGAGGACTAAAGTGCACCTGATCCAAGCCTTGGTATTTTCAATAACCTCATATGCATACAGAAGTTGGATAGCAAATAAGGAAGACCACAGAAAAATTGATGCATTTGAGTTATGGTGTTGGAGGAGAATACTGAAAAGAGTATTACCGCTAAAAGAATGAACAGATCTGTGTTGGAAGAAGTGCAGCCAGAGTGCTCCTTGGAGACCAGGATGGCCAGACTTCATCTCTTATACTTCAGACATATTGTCAAGCGGGACCAGTCACTGGAGAAGGATATCATGTTTGGTAAAGGGGAGGGTCCAAAAAGAAGAGGAAGACCCCCAGCGAGAAGGATTGACAAAGTGGCAGCATCAATGGGCTCAAGCATGGCAATGATTATGAGGTTGGCCCAGGATCTGGCAGTGTTTTGTTTTGTTGTATACAGGGCCACTATGACTTGGAACTGACTCAATGGCACCTAACAACAACAATAACCACAGAAATATAAACCTAAATATACTATGTGGCAGTGTTCTTTCTTTAACAGTGACTAATACAAAACACCCTCGGAAACCCTGTACAGGGTCGCTATGAGTCGGTTCCGACTCCACGGCACATAACAACAACACAACAACAAATACAAAACACTGGTGATATGGTTTTGTTTAAGAATAATGGGTTTAAAATAGATAACCTCATACTACTATTCATTCTGCTGAAAATCTATTTAACAATAAAGTTATCTTGTAGGTATTTGCCATATCTACTTTCTTCAATCATGGTATTTCAGTACATGCATTTCAAATTGTACTTCCTGCTTCTAATATTTATAAAATGGAAATTTTGATAATGATGGTTATCTAATACCATGAGAGCACTTGGATAACTAAATAACACCTGGAATATAAAAATATTAAAAAATATGAATATATAACAAAACATAAGAAAAAATACAGAAACTTTGCTGAGTGTGAAAGGGTGTATGAAATGTTTACAGTGAGAGAGTAAGCATTGTCATTGTTATATCTGATGCAGTAAGGACTTTGAAGGTGGACTAAAATGCATGACTAGAATATCTGGAATGGCTCCTTAGTATAGAAATGAGAAAAATCAAGAAGTAGAGATGACAAGTGACCCGTTTTATGTCATGCTGCTAGCAGCAAGGAAACACTAGTTAGACTGTAGGAAACTGCACATTAGAACCTCTTCCCTTTGTGAAGTAGAACCTTGGCAAAGATGATGAATTTATAACTGATACAGTTATTATGATATTGTAGACTAAGCACTGGACTTATAACCACAAGGTCAGCAGTTCAAACTTTTTGGAAACCTTCTACAAGATCGCTATGAGGATAAAGGACTCGACAGCTCTTAACAACAACAGTTGTTAATACCAATCAATTAATAGAAGTGTATCTAAAAGGTACATTATGATGCAGTACTAAGTCTCATTAAAATCTCTTTTTGACATACATGTTAGCTACACCCTTTATAACACCAAACAGTTCAATTTTCCATTCTTAAAAAAAATATCAATAGGGTTATACATAAGCAAAATGTCTGACTTAAAAATAAGAATATCTAATTTTAAAATAGCAAAGTTTATTTATCATTTACAGCAAGAATTGAAATAGGTATTTTTATTCCTAGGTATAAACGTTAAATTTAATACTTCAATGCTTCTTAAATTTTTCATTCTTATGAAATCAATTTAAAAGGCTTCATTTAAATTTTTAAATAGAAATTTTTACAAAAAGGGTATACAGGTAGAAGATTTTACCTCACAATTAGAATTTAGAAGCCCAGATTTGACTTCAAGATTACTTAGCCAGGTAGGACAAGTTGGTAGTCAAAATCTGGTTTCTGGATTTGGTATGTTGTTGTTGTTAAGTGCCTTGAAGTTGGATCCAACTCATAAGCGACGTGTTACAGGGTTTCTGAGGAGCAGGAGGTGGGTTTGAACTGCTGACCTTGTGGTTAGCATTCCAGTGTTTATTCACACAAGGAGTCCAGGTCTCCTTCTAAACTAATAATCTACCCTCACTTGTGACCCTAATCCAGATGCCTTTTATACTCTGAATTTTAAAAATTTGCTGTATTTGGAGATGTCTGTCTTTTTTGGGGGGCACTGGGCTATAATAAGAATGAGTCTCGTACTTCTCTCCTGACCATCCACTTTCCTTATTCCTTATATTTAGTGAGCACTTAACCGCTGAGGCATGATTTTACAAAGGAGAAGGACATAAAGACAAGTCTATCTCTGAGGGCTCACAAATAACTAATTCAATGCAGACTGTTATAAACTTTTTAGAAGAGAAAGAAAATGGTAAGTAGGTATATAAAAGGAATTCAAACACAGTGATATACATTTCAATAAACATGTTTTGAATTAAGTTTCACAGTCTTTATGAACAAACAATTTTTACACCTGTACTAAAAAGGACTTTATGATATTGGGAGGTGTGAGGAAAACCAGAGTTTTCCTTATTTAAAGTTGACAGAATATTTGCTGTGGAAAATTCTCAGGAAACTGTGGTTTTAACAGACTTCCAGTTACTTCCATTTCAAATAAATATAGAAGGGAAAACACTTCATCTTTTAATGGAAAAATTTTATTTTAAAATATGAATATTTACTGAGATTACAAAAGCATTTGGTGTTCAATTTTGAAAATAATCTTGAGATTGTTCCTATGGATGTAAACAATAGCCTAAATAAAAAAAATAAATAAAATCTGTTACAAATAAATAATTCTTTGATATACAGCTTAGAAATAAACCGACTTTTAACCTGAAGAGGTAGAATGTCAGTAGCAGTATTTTTGCTATAAATTGGATTTAAATTCAATTTTAGATTTTACCTAAAGATATAAATCAAAGCATTAAAATTTTATTGATTTAATAATATACTTAGAAAACAGTCCATTACACTGGCTCAGAAGAATTGTGACAAACTATGAATTGCTATTTAAAGCATGATAAAAGATAATCAAATTTCAATTATATTATCATACAAACTCAACTAAGACCTTAAAATTAAATGTCGACTATAGGGTTAATAGGTCAGCAGTTCGAAACCACTAGCTGCTCCGCAGGAGAAAGATGAGGATGAGCGTTCTGCTCCCGTAAAGATTAACAACCTCAGAAACCCTGTGCAGGGTCACTATGAGTCGGAACCAACTCCACGGCACTTAACAACAACAGCAATAAGGTTAATGCACCAGACTGAAAAGCCATTTGAACAGCAAGGTCGGCGGTTCAAGCTCGCTAGTCACTCTTCGGAAACCTTTTACAGTGTCACTATGGGTTGGAACCGACTCGACAGCACTCACTTAACAACAACATAAGGTTAATGCACTAGACTGCAAGGTCGGTTTGAATCTCAGGTTGGCAGTTCAAGCTCATCAGTTGCTCCTCACAAACCCTGTTCAGGGTTGATATGAGTTGGAACTGACTCAATGGCACTTAAAAAACAACAAAAAAAGAGGGGGGATGACATGTTACTATATTTATTCTGCCTATAAAATGTTTCTGTTAGAGATGAAGTAGGGGAAAAATTAGAACATCAGGCATATACAAACAGTTTTCTATGAAGTTTTACAGCAAATTTTAAATATATGAAGGGAACTTCAAAAAGTTAATAGAAAAATGGGATTGAAAGATAATGGAATTTTTCCAAATTTCTTGAAGACTAATGTATGTGTGTGTAAACTTATAAAAATGTCTCATTACTTTCAGGTAAGGCAAATAGTTATAAAAGACAGATGTCAGTAGAAATTTTGATTATTCAAGGTAATTATCTCTGGATCAATTGGAAAAGTAACAGTTTTGTTTTGTTGTGTTTTTCAAAATAGGAGTATTTGCAGTTACTATTTTTATTTATTTTATCACTGTTGTATTTTATTTATCATTTTATCACCCCCCCAAAAAACAAACAACAGCAAAACAAAACAAAAACAATGAGTCTGTTCTTAAGAGATGGAAGTATTTTTCTTCAGTTAAAACCTTTATTAAATCAATTACAATCTTACTTTATTCCTACATCCATGAATGGATGATGTCCAAATAAAAACAATGTAGAAAAAAAAAAAATGGATTTGGTTTGATTCTGAATATTCTCCATTGTAAGATTATGAGAATTATCATTACTTTGG